TGTGTTGTCGGAAGCAAAACCGCTCTGCTCAGTGGACTCGGAATTCGGGTGCGTAGAATTGAAGGAAAATCCTTCGGGACATCACTTCGCGCCAAAAAATCATGATGCAAATGTAAGAAAGCATGCGGTGGAAGCTGGCTCTCATGGTCTTGATTTTATGTTCATCATAGGCAATATGTCTAAAATGATTTCAGATCTATCCCGAATTGGTTAGAGAAGCAGCAACTTGCGTATTGTACGCTTGCAGAATAAGGCAAATAATGTCATTGTTCTTTCGCCGAAGCACAAGTCTAATTGCCTAATCATGCCACTACGTATTCCTAGGTCACACAAAGGTGAGAAATACGAAATCAAGAACCTCTATCCCTAAGAGGGTACAGCAGGACCAGTCTTTTGCCTTCCGTTAGGTTGGAAGTAATTATTTCGAATGAATTTTAGGGGTCCAATCCAGACGAAATTTCAGCAATCAGCGCAGATTATAAGTGTAACCTTTGCCTTTAAAATAGACTGACGCCTACGGGCAGTTAAAATAAAAACAGTTTCCATAGGATTTTAAAAGTGCACCTGAAAGCCAGATAAAGTTTTCCTTACATGTCTAAAAACTCAACAAATATTCTCTGACTGGATTAGCTTGCTTTTCAAAAAGTTGCTTTACTCATATATCGGCCCATTTTCGGGGAATAGTTTTACCTGAATTCCCACCGGGGTTGCTAGCTGTGTTTTACTATACCTGCTTTGATGGCTATTTTATGTCCTGCGTATTTTCCCCAAACATTTGAGAAAACAACCGCAACTATTGAACGACCCGTGCAACATTCATTGAAAATGTACTAATGTTTCGAATGGTCGGGGGACACTACTTATTTTTGGCGGCGTTTAACACACTTCAAGACAGGCATTTAGTTAGCACCCGGAGACCTGCTGACCTTTCATGATCCCTGTAGTTGTGTAGACTTTTGATCTTTCTCTACCTCCAGCTAAGGAAAACTGATTTTCGGGTATCCATTGGGATATGAACAACGTGTCGACCTGTAGTTTGTACTTTGGAGGTCGGAGAGAAGAACTTTTCACCCAATTGGCAAGGTAATCCATAGTTGATGAGAGAAGCTAGTTTGCGTGTTGGCGCCCTGACGCGCCGAAGCATAGACCGTGTTTTTTAGAAAGGCGGGTTTATGTGGCACAAAGAATGATTTGCCTGCTTAGTCTTTGGTTGTTGGCAGTCAGACGTAGGTCCTTGCCCGCAGCTACCACGAAGCCATATAGGCGGCTGGTCATGGTTTTTATGGACTCGCTTGAATGCTAACGTCTCACGCATTTGTGAAAGATTAATTAATTCACAGAACCGTGGTACTCCATTCGTGGTAATCCACTGTATACGAGACAGTAATACAGTATGACCACCAAAATTCAATTTGGTGTTTTATGATTTTGCGTGGAGGTGGCTAAAGTGGGCTTTCTCGCAGGACGTTTAATATGTCTCCAAACGTGTGCTTGGTTGGGTAGCGCGCGATTGTAATGTAATCCAGCAAATGCATTTTCAAGAAGAATGTTTCAAGGATTTCATTGTATAACATGAAATGCTCTCGTAGAATATTTTTTGGCAAACAATTTGTATTGCATTCAGAAGGTCAAGATCCTTGCATTTGTTACGGAGGCTACCTAAAAATAAAACATGATAACATGCGATGGCGTGAGGCGCACGGTTTACGGTAATCACAATAACTTAGGACATAAATTTCTGAAGACGGTAGGCAAGCATACGTGTGCTTTCGGTAAATGCCTATTGGGTGAGTGCGTTGAGATGGGATTGGAGCACAGGCAACGCATGTAAGATAAATGTTCGTCTTCCCATACCAATCGGGTTTGGTGACAGGGCGAGAGAGAGGAGTAGGGGACGATGAGTTCGGAGACAGCGAAGGTTAAGGAGACGGGGCAAGTAGGGATCCCGGAGGTTTGCAATAAAATAACCGAAATCTGGCCATGATAGTCATGGAGTTTGTACCAGGTTCTTTTATACGCACAAGACGGGTTTTTGTAACCTAGTGGTAGTCGCCCCTGTGTTTCTAGAGGACATTTACCCATAGACTTAGGGTAGTTAGGTGGGAACTTTTAACTTGCAGAGGAGACTGAATTGTGATCCATTGAATGCCAGGGATCAAAAATATATGCAGAAATGTCACTGCAGATGCTTGGGAATCGCGCCTTCCGTTAGCATACATAGCTCCTATATGTAAAACTCGCGGTTAAACACTTAAAGGAACTATAACAACTGCCGTCCCGTCCCCCTTCCGTATCCTACTGGTTGGTAAAGTGATACCACTCATTCTGGCAGCCTGAAACATTCGTTCCCATTTAGACTACCTGAGGAACAACCAACGGAAACGGAGGACGACGCTATCTTCTCGAGAACAGGCGCGTCACCACGCAAGACATCGCTGCTGTTAGCGAGACCAGCTTCACCTAACAAGGCTGCCTGGAGGAGGTGGGTGCTGACTGCACCTTTTTCTAGAGCGGCTGCCCAGTGGATGACGTCGTCAGTGAAATCCGGAACGACGTCGTGGGGAGACTGCCCTATCCGCCACAGGGTATCAACGAATGGCTGATGTTCCTGCCTCTTCATCAATCAAAATTCGCTACCATCATCAGTGACAACGTCCAACAATGACCAACTCAGACAAGGCGAAGTCTAAATTTTACAAAGAACTGCAAGTCCTCCTAGCGACTATTCCGAAGGCAGATAAGTTGACTGCTCTTGATGACTTCAGCGCTCGCGTCGGGACAAACAATGCTGCCTGCAAGGGAGTGTTGCGTCCTTACTGAATCGACGGCTGCAAAGAAAGTAATCTTTTGGTTTACGGACCTGCGCGGAACACCGCTTTCACTGGACCAACACCTTTCGCATGCCGAAGCGGGAAAAGGTCACTTAGATGTACCCTCAATCGCGAAGCTAACAGCTGCTGGAGTACGTTCTCATTCGAAGAAAATATAGACAGAACGTGCTAGTGATACAGGCAATCTGTGACGTCGATGGCTAGACTGGTCACCGTCTCGTCATCTTCATGTTGAGACTCTGAATGCACTCCCACAGGAGGCCACAAGAGACCGTCACGCTGGTTATATACTGTTGTGTGAATTTGCCTGCTCATTACAAAATTTCAGGAATCAGTTCGCCCACCACCTGGAAGGACTGCCGGCGCAAGACAGCCACTTTACAATGGGAATTCGATGGTGTCAACTATGAACTCCTATCCTCTCGACTGCACCGGACGTCCTCAGTCGCGTACGTCGCTAACATCAGGAGAGGTTCGACGACAACAGCACCGTCACTGGCATTTTGCTCGCTAAAATGCACAGGCTGCACAAAGCCTACACGAATCATTAAACTGATAGAGACAGAGCAGCTTTTTTTCGTTATCGTCGCATCGTACAGCACCGATTAAGGTTGATGCAGGATGCCAGGATGACCCGCTGTACAGAGGAAATCCAGGGGTATGCCGACCGCAATGAATTCAAGAATGTCTGCTCATCATTCAAGGTGATCAACGATCCCCAATTGTAGGAACCGTGTTACATCTCATCCCCGATGGAACAATGCTTCTGACGACGAAATCACAGATTCTGATGTGCTGGGTCGAGCACTTAAAAATCTCCTCAGTCTCCCATCTACGATCTTCGACGCCGCCAAATGACCAATTACCCAAAGTGGAAACTAGTGACGACCTAAAAACAGCCTCTTTCTACCCCAGAAACAAGTCACGCCATGCACCAAAACTCCAGCCAGAAGGCAACGGAATTTGACGCTAATCAGGCCGACATCTACAAGCACTTCAGCCACCAACTAATGGAATAACTACCACTGCTATTCCGGGAGCTATGATGCCAGATAGGGGTTCCTCAGTATTTTAACGACGCGAATATCGTACATCTCTGCAAACGGAGAAGGAACCGGTAAGTCTGTGATAACCGCAGAGTAATTATGCTGCCCAACACCGCTGGGAAGATCTTCGTTCGCAACCTCCTCAGCCATCTCCATGATCATCTCGAACGAGGACTTCTTCCGGAAACCCAGTGTGACTTTCGACGACATCGCAGAAACATTGACACAATCTTCGCCACTCGTCAGCTAAAAGACGAGTGCCTCGCAGATCTGACGAAAGCCTTTTACACGGTTGGTACTGAAAGAATAAAGAAAGTCACGCAGAAATGTTGCTGTTTTGAACGATCTATGCGTACAAAGGCGTCAGCTCCACGACGCGATAATGGCGCGCGTCACGGACGACGGAACCGTCTCAAACGCACATTTAGTTTTAATGAGGTGCGGCACGATTGCGTACTCGCCCTATTATCCTTAGCACCACGTTTACTGTCATATTTATGTACGCCTACCGTGACGAGCGCACAGGGATCCGTATCGCCTACAGGACGACGGACATCTTCTCAACAGCCAGCATATGCAGGCCTCAGCACGTCTATCCACGATTACAGTCCACGACCTGCTCATCGTTGATCTCTGCACTTACCACACCGCGTCAAATGCTGACATGCGAGGCAACATGAACCTCTTCGCCACAGGGTTGCCGACTTCGAACTGACCACCAACGCGAATTAAATGACAGTAATACGCTAACCATCACCCAACATGGAATACAACGCTCCTCGAATCAGTGTTAACGACAGCCAACTGTAGGCCGTGAAAAAATCCGCCTTCCTAGGAAGCATACTCTCGTGCAGCGCAAAATCGACAATGAGGTTGCTCATCGGACCTCCAAAGCCAGCCAAGATTACGCCCGGTTGCAAGCCTCCATGTGGAATTGTCCCCGCTTACAACTGAGCGCTAGAGTGAAAATATGCACTTTTGTCTTAGTCGCCTACACAGAACACTAAAGCTGAGATGGCAGGACAGAACCCCGGAAACGGAAGTTCTGGGACAGACCGGAATCCCCAGCATCCACGTCCTGATGAGATAAATGCAACTGCGATGGTACGGTTGTCTCGTGACAATGGACGACGCTCGCTTTCCAAAACTACTCCTTTATGGAGACGTCGTTAAGTGTGCTCGCCGACAGGGTCAAATCCACCACCACGAGGACACCACCACGATAACTCCTGGGGGCAGCTGCAAATCGACTGAAGACTTAGGAAGTCTCCGCACAAAATCAACTGGCCTGGAAATAGAAGTGAAGACTAGAGCAGATATCTCTGAAGGCAGCCAGGTCGTCGCTCCTAAAGCCAAAAGGGAGCGCGTAAGTCCCAGGAGTCCCTCACCCACAACATGAATGATCCAACACTTCCAACATGCCTACGATGTCAACGATGCTCGAATCGACCTCGCTGAACATCACTGGACTCAACGTACCAACGACCTGACAACCCCAACCTCTGCCTCCGCGTCTATTCCTGATACAACCCCTTACGACGTCCACGACGGCGGCCACCCTCAACACCGCTTTTCTGATTCCCCGTGTCCTGCCTCAGTCGGCCATCGCAACCGTGATCTCTGCCAAAACTTTTGCTGTGACGACCGCCACAATAACCTCTACCACCTCTGCTATCAAGCGAAACGCTGCCGATGCCTCGTTAACTACCAGCCTCACAATCACAACTCTCACCTCTAGCGATGTGGATTCGGCCCCATCTGCCCTCATTTCAGTCACAAATTCACCTTCACCCACGAGCCTGTCCGGTCACTTGCGAATCCACCGCACAGAGACCGATGAACCATTGCCATGAACTACCTGAGTCATGGTTCTTTGGTCCTCAATCTATTAACAAGTGCAATGACCTACCACTCCATATTAGGTGCTGAGAATTAGCTTGGGCGAAGTAATTGCTAAGCAGGGCGCATGCAGGCGAACACTGTGCCGGTGAACCAGATGGCCGAGTAATCATCAAACCGACATCCAACAGGGGCTATGAAATTGGTGTAATTAACGACTTGAAGGCCAGACAACAAGCAATTGTCGCATCAAATGCAAAAATAGCAGTCTCTGAAGATGAGTAGAAGAAGCGTTTACTCGAAACGTCAGAACTCCAATACACCTCCCCCGGTGAGCGTCACGATTTCTTTTGATATGCCACCTGGGAATCGCATTTTCACTACTATTGATGTAAGTTACGGGCGCGAAGCGCTTCAACTGGTTCGTCGTAAAAAAAATCTGTCCTTTGACAGGCCTCGACCTATGCACAGCTCAATTTCCTTCACAGATGCCTTGTCAGCTATGTTATGCCTAAATGTCTTTCCTACAAGCCTCCAATCAACACGGAACTGGCTAAAGAAACGATGTTCCGTCATAGCCGGCGAATGACAAGGGTACTCATGCAATATGTCACCTTCGACTAAGGAAATACGCACAAATTGCCGACAACTTCAGGATGCTTGTTACATGCCGTTGTGGTGAATCGACCGCCATTACATTGGAGAACACCTTGATATCATTGGGACGAAAGAAACGTGCTAACAGAGATGCTGACTTAACAGTAAGGTTCATGGCCCTGCAGACCGCACAATCCCGGGAACCTGAACAAACGTTAGTACACAACCTCTCGTCAAAACATCTTACTGAAGCGCAAACAAAAGTTCTACAACGTGGATCTGGTTTTAACACAACTGACGCCGACCCGGTCACATTTGTTGCTTTTTTCGAATCTGTGCTACGTCAAACCGGCGCCACAGACGAGGCAAAAGACCTCCTCCGACATCAAATATCTTCTCATGTTACACCGAAAAACCCATTGGCTGCTAAGAGATGAACAAGAGATCCTAAAGGAGTTGGAAGCGGACATCGAAATAGTTAATCTGCCCGCTGACAAAGGCCGATCAATCGTTATCCTTGACAAGGTAGATTACCGAAGCAAGTCCTCATGCCCCTCAACAACCGGGAGTCCTACATGGCCAGCAACGCCACCAGTCTAAATTCCCTACTGGCAAAGGTTAACAGAATTTTGTCACGACTAAAGAATGAAAAAGCCATCACCATCAAAGACTGGTATATGGCAAAGTCCACAGCATCACCGATGGCGAGATTCTACAGTCTTCCAAAGGTACACAAGCCAGATGTTCCCCTCCGACTAATCGTCTCTCTCCGAGGCACACTCACATACGGTCTCGCAAATTGGCTGTTTCAGAAGATACGTTTTCTAACCGCGGGCTCACAGACAACGGAACACTCAGCAGAGCAATTCCTCAACAAAATAAGGGCGGTCACGATCGAACCGAATGAGGGGATGGTGTCATTTGACATCGCCTCCCTCTTCACGTCCATACCGCAGGCCCTTGCGGTCGAGACTCTCGGTGACCTGTTACGTCAGAATTACGACGAAGGTGATGGCCAGCCCACAACTCAGGGTCTCATAGAACTCATTTGGCACTGTCTCGAAACATTTTTTTATTTTCGAAAGGATCACATATGAACAAATTAAGAGCACTCCGATGGCTTCAGTCATTTCCTGATTCATTGCCGAAGCGGTTCTGCAAAAACTCGAGAAACGACTGTATGAGGAATGCAAACCCAAGTTTCGGGCACGCTACGTCGATGATACCTTCGTAATCATCGATCAAGATAATATTAACCAATATGAAGAGCTACGTACCTCAATTATTTCTGACCCACAGTTCACGCTGGAAGAAGTGGACAGCAAACTTTCATTCTTGGATGTTCTTGTCTCACGCCAACCAGAGGGCAAACTGGCGACGTCAATCTACAAAAAACCGATGAGCAAGCTGCAAATGCTCAGTTACAACAGCAACCACCCACTGCAACAGAAACGAAGCTGTGTACGCACGCTATACCGACGGGTGAAAACTCATTGCAGCACTCCAGTCGCCAAACTGGACGAAATGAGGCTCTTCCACGAACTCTTCAGAGCAACTGCTATCCGCGAACATTCGTTGAACGGAGCCGATAGCAACCAAGGAAGCGGAATGAAGAACGTAGTCATCCAAAATCGTGGAGGAGCATTCCATACATGAAAGGGGTCTCCGACGCCGTAGCCAGATACCTCGCGCCACTCGGAATGAGCGTTGCCCACAGGCCCGACTCAACAATCCGCCGGTAAGTGATGCGGCCAAAAGACCCGATCCCTAAGCAGGAGAAGTCTACAGACTTCAGCGCAGGTGCGGAATGTGCAACTGCGTTGGGGAAACCGGCCGACGGCTGCGAATGTGCATGCACGAGCATAAGTTGGCCGTGCGAAAGTTGGGGCTAAAGTCGGAGGTTGCAACCCATGTCAGTCAGTCAGTCCAAATAGGACACGTCTTCAACTTTGACGCCGTTGAAATTGTGGGCAGAGGTGCTGATCATACGGCAAGGCAGGTGCAAGAAGCCTGGATGTCTACCTACTGTTCTGTCAACCGCCACGTCAATTTGCCTCCCCCCGATCTGGTCTTACGGACATTTTTGACGGGGGACAGTCACAGCGCGGGACAAGCGGGGTCGTCAATTATCGCGGCGGTCTACGATGATGGGCGGGATTCAGGTCACGGTGACATGCGGGTCGGATGCAGCCACACAGACGGTATTGGCGGGTCAGGCATCAAACAAAGTGCGAGATATAAGGAAAGCTGTGTGCATGACTTCTCAGTCTCTGAAGATGGGTAGAAGAAACATCTACTCGAAAAGTCAGACCTCCAATACACCTCTCCCGGTGAACGCCTCCTCTTCTTTTGAAATGTACCAATGCTTGATGAAGGCGGCGTCGTAAATTTTCGTGTGTATGCGGTAGCATAGCGACTACATCATATAAATACTGCAACATCCTGTCCATGAAGTGTTCGTATCTGCTCCTATCTCTGATGTTGCTTTCTGGCATGAATTGGAAACGTCAGGCGAATAAAGTTCTTGCTCCGGCAACCGCGTCGACCTCTTCCCGCATAAACTTATCATCGGGCCGGAACGCTAAAGTAGCTTATGCAATGGCGTTCCCTATCTCTCTGCATCCCACCGCTGTTATCCGTTCCGTAATATACCACAACGGTGCCACGGGGCCGTCTGCCTGTTTTTATTGCTTGTTTTTGTATCCTACTTTGCTGACATAGGAATCTGTCTAACTTAAAATTGCCCTTCTTCGAAGATCGTTCCTTTTTCAACACCTTTAGACTTATAGTTATTCGGTAACATGAGTAATTTCTGTATTCGTCTTTTACTTGAAAAGCTCGGTCATCTTACAAATTGTCAACCGTAAATTCTGATTTGTAGTGTTTCCGCGAACAATAAACCCCAAGCTTGACTTTTTGCTAATTAGAAGTATTCGTACGAAGTAACCAATCATTACCCATGTAAATGTATCGGCCGGATGATGAGTTGCTGAACACATATGTTCGCCAACTGACATTTTAATCGTAATATGGGAAGTTTCGCAGACTTAACCAATCAGCCTTCGCTTAGAGGGCAAAAAATGAAGATTTTTTCACTGTCTGTTTTTTAGTTGATGTTCATATGTCTGCGCAGAATTCGAGTATACCCCTTCATTCACGAGTTAATGCGGTCCCTCAATATCCGTATTTTTATTTCCCAATGTGTTTTATTAAAGGCTTTGCTGCGAACATTTATGCTCAACATACAACTACTAGAGCAAAATATAGAGGCCTTACTTATTTCTGCTGCCCGCCGAAAAATATGATGAGCAAATTTTCTGTTCAGTAGTGATTATTTTGATGGAGTGTCTCCAAGTCTGCTTGAACGAGATCTGTAACTTAAGACTTCAAACTCTTCACATCTTCTTTATATTTAACGAACCAAGCTCATACCTGAGAGAGACTTGCGAATGTTTAGTCCAGGCGCAAATTTCCATCCTGATCAAAGAAGACGATCATGCTTCACTTCTGTTTGGAGATTTATTGCTGGTGCATGCGCGCGCATGCAACCCGAGCTGGCTGTACTTCACTTCTGTTAGATCTAAACAGGAGGAACCGGTGCTCATTGCATTTTATAGTCGATTTGCGCTAAGACTGGGAGAGTTCCGAACCACTGTGGCACACGGGTGAGGCACGTCACATTAGTGCCTAGACTCAATCTTCCCATTAATTAACAGAAACGCCCTGACAAACTGCTGACCCTCGGATGAGTGAACAGAGAAGTACGCCTACTTTTCGCATGGCTGACCGTCATCACTGCACCGGTCAACCTCGCCTGTTGCAAAACCATTGCATCCTACCTCGGGGGCACTGCCCCGGAACCACTCGGCCTTGTACAATGCGGGCACACTTATGCACTGCCCTTAGCTGCTGTTTATGTCTCGAATGAGGCACAGCTCAACACTTAAGACCAAAAGTGTCGCACCCCTTTTAAGGCAACTCATACCACGCCAAAACATGACTTCTCGCGTAATGCGATAAACAAAACTTATTAACCTACCTCTGGACCACAAATACAATCAGCTGAAACCAAACAAACGCTCTCTGCCTCCCGACTGAAGACTGCCAGTTCACATCGTTGCCATGCCGTCGGTTAGTTTTGCCCGAAATAACAACTCGGAGAATCCCCTCTAGTGTCCCCCTGCGCTGTGTTCTTCTTCTTGTTTTTCTTCTTCTTCTTCTTCTTCTTCTTCTTCTTCTTCTTCTATAACAGGTGACTTGATTGAATGATGGTAAACCCCAGTGCACACTCATTACTTATGCCTCGGCACCCCAACATTAAACAACTAAACGCATGTTCAGGCTATTATAGTCCACCGATAATCATAGTTTGCCCAGTCGCGAAAATAACCCGGTCCAACTTATAATTGAGAATAAC